TTGGTTTGCAAAAAAACAAAAAAATATTGTCAGCAGCTGGAATGTTTGGAAGACTACACACCCTGTATCCCCACTTACATACAGGGTTAACTTTTGATTTCATTTGCTATCTTTTTTATCTATTGATTCTAGCTCATGAGGGTAATTCCATTGGAATCCTGATGTCAATCTTGGTCTGGCCGGCTCATCAGGTGTCCCTCCCCTTGCATTGGCCCCCCAGTACATGGGCCAACCAGGTCCTGTTGCTGATGCCAGCAAGCATTTTGGAATCTGTACACTCAATTTATTCTTCCAAACTTCCGACTCCAGTTGCTATTTTTTTTAGAAAATTTGCCCATGGAGACCGCAAGCCTTCTTGGTTTGGCTGTAAGTGGCTCAATCTGTGTTAATTTTGTAAATTATGAAACATGAGACTACATATATGTACTGCATTGAGAAATATTGCCAGTGATCAAGTGAGTCAAAATTTCCTTGAATATGGATTGGGTTTTCCTACATGTATATAATCTCATACACTTTCAGAATTTGAGGAAAATCATCAGTATATTCAAAATTGAATCCATAACATCATAAATCTGTTTTGCATAGAATTTGAAATCAACTTTTGCAATAAAGCCACTTATGATTTTACAATATAATGCAGCTATCATGGTATATTTTGAATAATTTCCACAAAAGATTATGCATATTTAGGTACATAAATGTTTGCTTTCAGCTATACATATATAAAGATATATGGTTTGATGGAGGACATAAATCATGATAATTAACAGCATGTGGATTTCAGTTGGAGTTTGATGAGAATATTAGATTAAACGCATGTTTTGTATGCGGCATGTGTGATTTGTTTGAAGATTTCTTTATTTGATCTGATTCAATTTAGGGGTTGGCTTATTCCCGTTCAATATTCAGTTGATACGCCTTTTTGATCCTGTCAACTGTTCAATGAAACCTGAGGACAGAAAAAGCAAATGATGAATTATCAACATCAACCGATCTTGGCCGTTCAAACGGACACAAATAAAAACCGACGTACTGATGGGTTTGAAAGTTAACTGATTGTCGACCCCATCCAAGAATTCATGGTACTGCTTTGCTATCTCTAGAATTCGCCTGCCATTTTCCCTCTCGGGCTCCGATCCGGCTTGTGTAAGCAGTCCCAGTAACTTTCGATTGATCTTGTTCTGGTGAGACTGTAATTTCGAAGCAAAGCTCTCTCTAGTACCTCGGTTCTCGTGAAATTCAGGCTTCTTACCCCCCTCGAGGTCATCCCAAAATATGTTCCGTCCGAAGAGGTCTGAGTCTGGTGGCATGTGGAGGTTGAATGCATCGTGCAAGATTTCTGCGTCTTCGTCTTCCAGTGCACTATCACCAAGGTCATGATGCATTATCATATTCAGAAGGCGCTGAGTAACTTCGAATATACCTGAGCCTGTGAACAGGAAATTGGCCATTTCAAGTAAACTGAATTAGTTGATGGTACACTTGATGTAAATCTAGTACCTGATCTGACTAACCTTCAATCTCAGCACGGATTTTAGACCTTTCTCCAAATGCTTTACTCAATCCTTTCTGTAGCTCTTCTGCGCCGGCGCGAACTTCTTGGTCTAGAGATCTGTAAGTTCCTTCTTCTTTTCGATTCTCCAAACCTTCATCAACCTCCATCGGAAATGCTTCTGGGCCAGTCTTGACTTTCCTACGCGGAGAGCTAATGTTTTCCGTCAGTGGTGGTGATTTGGGGAGTTTTGGGTAATCGAATAGTTTTCTTCTTTTCGATGATATTCCAGTTGATGATTCTGCTTTGGCGGACTTGGGAGAGACGGATGGAAAGATACCCTCCATAAGAACTGGATCAGTGGTACCGCTTCTACTCCAGGGGTCAGAGTTGATGCGAAGCCGATACCTAGGTGATCGACTTTCACCTGGACGCCTCGCCTCTACAAGTCTGCCGAATTGATCCGAGGGACTGGCTATTTCACCAGCGGGGAAACCGGCGCCTGCAGACACAACCGGCCAGTGTGCGATGGCCAGTGTGAGGAAGATGAAAACCCTCAAGACAGCATGAAAGGAGCGGAATAGTGCATGAAACGGCATTTTGATTTGTATGTTTTTTTTTCCCTTTGTTTTTGAATTTTGATCCGGCGACCTATTATTAAATCAGATAAGAGGATACCATGTTGAGCGGGAGAAATGTTCGAAACCGGCTATCTCTGACCAACCAGGGAAATTGACAACAAAGACCAGAAGCTTCACAGATGGAGGAGAAATGTAAATCCGGCTGGACCTCAATTGGCATGAAGTTTCAAAAAAGCTCATACACATGCAAATGTATGAATCGGTTGGGAACAAGCGCCATCTAAATGGGTGTTGTACACCTTGTTTCAGATTTCTGGAGGAGAATCCCTTAAAATGACAAAACTGGTTAGATCGACTAAAATTCCCACACATACCACAAAACAAGCATCATACATCGTTCCTTGGAATCCATGGGCTAGAAAGCTTGGAATCTCAGTCAAAGGCGACAAGGTCATCGTTACAGAATTGTACCCATCTTCATTGCTCTTTCTTCGAATGTGGAATGACGGGCCAGCGGCTGCTACTCCAGCTACATAGTACACAGCGCAACTGCACGTGGCCATATGTCCTCGAAGTAACAATCAATACGCCTGCAGAGACTCTCGGACATGATGCGTTGCACGCTGACGCACGCACATTTGGAGCCCATTGGTGTCAGTCTTCAACGTACGCTTATGGCGCGACCTAGCCAAAGCATAGCATGTTCTGCGACGAAATTCGCTTCTTGAGGGTCTCTGAACGTTTTGAAAAAGTATCAACAAACGAAACACGAAGGCCGAGTGCATGAAAGGTTTAAGTTTGATCGAGCTTGGGGCCATCCTTGTCCATCTTCTTATAACAAGATCTGCAAACCACACCAGCCCATCGGCAATGCAAAGGATGCACAGATGTTAAAAAAATTAATACCGCAACATGTGTTCCAAAGAAGCTCATCGGTAGAAAGCACAGTGGTGAAAACTGGAACACATGAATACTATCAGTGTTTAACTGTTAGTCCACCGATAGCTCAAATAAATTATACTATTCCGAAATCACAGCCCAGCTTAAGGTTGAGGGTAAGGTTTGCCGGAGGTGAGCGGGAGTTTATGGTTGAAACTCCTGCTAAAGGAATATTAGTTTTACAGCTTCCGCTACACCAGGCCACGCGTTTTCCATCGTTTGTGACAAGATTCGGAAATCATCTGTCCTTCCTTGCACTTCCGGATTTCCATCGGTGTTTCCAACATTCAACTGGATCAAGATAGTGGACATTCTCACAGCTTTGATTGGTATGACCTTGTATGTATTGCCACAAATCAAAGTTGTGACTCACCACCAACTTATTTTTCTCTATGTTATCTCACACCAGGGTTGAGGAATTTCTTCTTCTGGGAGGTACAGATGAGACAAACAGACTCTCTTGAAACCTTTCCCTCATAATAATGCAAATTTTTTCCAATTTGATCTAATTTGACTTGTACAATCATGACATTGAATCATAGTGAGATGCACACCAAAAAAGGGAAATTTCAAGGAATTTCACCTGCTTTGTGTGCAATGAA